CGTAGCAGGTGGCTGGTTAAGATACTGTGGCATTGAATGCAAAGGCGCAGTTAGGGAGACGTCCACTACAGTATGTTATTCGTGGCTTTGGCATTAAATTTTTACCAAGGACAAAATGTTAGCTCCACTTTTGTACAGTAAAAGGTTGAAACAATTTGCCTCAGAGCTAAGGATAAGCGTACCCATCCCGAGTCTTGTAGAGACCTAATTACTAAGGTCCATATATTAAAAAAAATTTTTCACATCAGCAAAATTGAGAGTTGACCCCAAATATTTCACTCAGGTATTTTACTCAACTGCCATTGATGCTAGCTATAAATACGCAACCAATTCATGTAAGGTAATTTAAGTAGTTACGAAATTATTTATTTTGCCTTAGCGAGGTTACCCCCGTATTTTTTAAATGCCCCTTAAACGTCGACAACCGGATTTTTTTTTTTTAATTTATGGACACGGCAGTAGACATCGACGGAGAGGTGTAGCGGTAAAACGAACAACTTCAATATTAAAGAATTCCACCGCCACACTTCCCTGAGCGCTTTGTTCTTCAGAGTTGCCAACTTAGCGACTTTTGTAGCTACAGATCTAGAGCTTTTGTTTTTCTAGCGATGAGCCGATTTTATAATTTGTCGCAAATCTAGATATCCACAGAAATCTAAAGGACTTTCTGGATACTTTTTGATCGTCCATGAAAACTCGGTTTTCCTAATTTCGAGATTATAACATATAGCAACGGTTGCAGGGACAATACATTTGAACGGGCTGAACTCATAAAACAACTTTGTCAATCGCTACCTGACAAATATTCGTGTGTTGCAGTCTATTTCTTTTCTGAGTGCTGATGAATGCTTGAAGCCTATTAAATCAGATATACTTGGCTTGGCACACTTATTTACAGAAGATTCTGCATAACTCTTCCCAAGATTGATTTCCAGGAAAAACTGCATCAATACCTGACACAGAAACATCTAACACCTAAAATTGTGGTCAGAAGTGGCAAATTACAGAGATGCGGCTGCAGAAACCCTACTATGGATTCCGGCTGAAAACAAAATTGCTGCCTATCTTCTTCGCAGCATTCAAAATTGCGCAAACAAATGAAAACCTGGTCGACATTAAAGGCAATTTACAATAAAGTATATATAAAGAGAACACTCCTGGGTGCAGCAAGCGCGCAGAACTTCCTAGTGATATTTTAAGCAAAAAGATAGGACTGTGGAGGCATACAGTTACAAGAGGAACCTTGAACCTAACTTCACATGCTTCCAGAAGCTTCCCACAGTTGTTCACACTGCCGACGACTACGAAGAGGACTGGGATGCATCAGCCATTAGAATAATAGGTAAGTGCACATTAAACTCTTAAAAAAAATAATATTTTTTATTTTTATAATGCATTTATTTATACTCCGTCCATTGTAGTCGGTATTATAGAAACATAATTTGCATCAAATTACTAAAGGAAATATAGCTAGCGACTACGGAAGATTTAGCGACATTTAATGCTTTTAGCACCAGCCTAGCGACATTTGAAAATCCTGGAGTTGGCAACCCTGCTGTTCTTCTGATTCATTTTGAAGGCGGCGGGTAAACTCTTCCAAAGCGTGGGTCAGCATCAAACGGATCATATAAATTCTAGCATATATACACATTCCCGCGTTCCAGAGGAGGCAAAACACACAAAGTAATCATGATTTGCCAGCTTATTAACACCGCTTACTTACTTTAATTTTTTCCACATTTTCCACACACAAAAAATAAGAACTTCTAGTCACGGACCTAAACTGACCAGAAGGATAACGATATATTTCATGATCTAGAGCGAATTTTAAGATTAGACCAGTAAACCCTGGTATATCATAAGGATGTCAGTCAAGTTTTAAGCATACGTATCAAGCGCAATTTCTGTCCCCGAATAACCGCCACACCTCATTCCTCACTTACTCGGAAAGCTTCCCCGTCACCAGTAGTAACCTTTGTTCATCATCTACATTCTTCCCTTTGCTAAGAATGCTGAGGTGGTGTTATACTTGTTGTCGTGGCTCTGTAGCACCCGTGGAGCTGGTGGGTGTCTCGGCCGCTGGTGGGGGATCAACAGACTTTCTGCTACTCTGGTGCTTCAACACCACCGGCGGACGGCAAGACGGTCGTCATCACCGGCACAAAGGTAAACATTTAGAAAGTACTCAATTTGCTGTCAGTGGCGATTAATAATACGTAAGTGATGGCTATTTATCTTTTTTTCGATACGGTAAAGGCTATAAAAAATCTAACTATCTCGGTTGTACTTCCGAGCGGGGAGAAACAAGTTTGTACTGTATATGGTTTTATACCCAATCATTAATCCCACGCAGCACAATATCGCGGTATAAGTTAAAAACTAAAAACACAATGCAATAAAATGAAAATAAACAAATCAGATTTCGCAAAGGATTGTATTCCACAAAACTAAAATAATACCTTACCTGCAGCCCTTCAGTGCAATATCACCCATAATTTCTAGCGGCATCGGATCAAACTGCAGGGACCTGGCCCGTCGTGCCACTCGTTAATTTTTGCCTGCAGGAATATCATCATCAGAGGCAACATCGCCAGAGGTGAGAAAAGAGGCCAGCCCAAGATCGCGTAAAGTTAAGTAATTACAGCGGCAAATTAATTTTGAGATGGGCAAGATCCTAGGATACATAGTATCTATCATGACGTCAGCTAATGGGAGCAATTTTAATTTATTCCTTTAGTAAATGTGAATACTCTGGTGATTGGAGAAAATCCAGGCACTTTATCCTGTTCTCCACTAACCAATGATATCTGTTCTGTTACAGGAACATCAAAAGATGTTCTGAGCTACTTTATATGTCGTATATGGGATCGAAACTATATTTTTATCAAAATTGGGTATGTTTTATTTAAGTAGCTTATGTGTTTATTACCTTTTCGTACTTGCAGATGACATTCTTAGTGGTGGAGAGGGAGAGTGAGGTTGAGCTTGATAAGCTTCCTAGGCGCTCCGTCAGGAAGTTTCGGCAAGAGGCGGCCGGACGTAAGGTAGCCAGTACCACCACAGCACCATAGCAGTGTTGTCTTATTAAACGTAACTATATATGAATGTCGACAGCAGACCATAAACTGAGGTTAAATTGCTGCTTATTTTTTTGCGAAAAGTGGAGCAGCGTTAGCGGTTGTGAACTTACTTGCTGGTATTGTTGTGCAGGTGGATGTGCTAATCAACAAACGTTGCCGTGGCAGACCTTCCTCAGCAACTGACGGACGAGGGCTGAATTGACCGTCGCGACCAACCACCTAGACACTTCCTCCCACACTTGTTCTTCGTGAGTACCATCTAGTGACAGCAAGTTAAAAATTTTACCAGATAAAATGAACTTTACAATAACGTCAGGGATCAACACATGCTTGTAACTCATAATCCATCCTTGGGGCCTTATACTTGAAACACCTGTGGCCATCATTTTGTTCCACCACAGCCATTTTTAAAGGTCACCCAGCGTGTGTGTGTGTATATATATATATATATATATATCGGCGCAGATCCACAATGAAACGTGATAAGATAAATCTTGATAAAATTCACACGAAAAGGAAACAATGGAGCTACCTTAGCTTTCTTCTTTATTCAAGACATCTTCAGAGCCAACTGGATTAACACATGGACAGAGAGAGGCTTAAATATACAGGGTGACTTATTAAACATGAGGTCAGGTCATACATTACATCCACTAATCCCCCACACCAATACGGCTTAAGAGAAGGTGACGTGACTAGTCAGGTTCAGGTAAAAAATAGGACCCACTAAATAACGGTCATATATCTAGATCAAAGGTTTTCAAAGCATTTTTAACCTGGCCACGACAAATAAATTTATGTAACATATTATCAGTTTTGAACTGACCATCACTAAGGTTTATTGATTTTAATTCTTAATCAAACTAAATAAATCCGTGAAAGCCTTCTGTGACACAAGATGATTTAAATACTTCTAAGCTTTTTTCCCAAGCAATGGGATGGATGGTTATTCCTAACATGAACGAACAAGGCACTGCTTTCAGATGCTGTCTCATATTGTACTTATGTTGTTTGATTCTGAGCTGCAAGTGTTTTTCCTGTCTGTCCTACATAATTTACATTAAGATTGCTACATGGAATACACAATACATACCTATTTACATCTCAAACCTGCCATTATTCCTTATTAACATATTATAATGGTTGACATACTTGAAACACACACATCTTGAAGATGTCTGAAGTGCCTGCTGTTTTTCCCGTGTGATTTTATCAAGATTTATCTTATCCACGTTTTCATTGTGGATTTACATGAAATATATATATATATATATATATATATATATATATATATATATATATATATATATATATATATATATATTTCTAAGAAAAGAAAAGAAAACAAAAGTTTAATACTTCATGTAATTCCCATCTTCAGGGTGAATACCTAGATCACGCGCACCTACAGTGATTTACTTGCATATATATATATATATATATATATATATATATATAGTATATTCACTATTTGGGTAAACCGATACTGAAGCTGGACTGTATTACAAGTACTTTCACAAATCATAGCTGCTGCATAACTTATGCTCTGTTCCTGGCCACTTTTGACCCAACATTCGAGCAACACTTTCAGGAGTAACCACTGATATTGAGTATACAAAGTTTGTCAATGTCGGAGTGATAAAAGTTTCTGGTCACCAGCTGGGTTGAAGGCAGCCAGTGGACGTGTGGTGACTATCACTTCCTTTGGTCACAAGTGGGTCAAAGAGGTCAAGGACCTGGACTTGGACGGCGACCTTAAATTCCAGATCAGTCGACCACTCCGCACGCTAGAGATCTACGCTGCCACCAAGTTAATGAACGCCAACTTCACCATGGAACTCCATAGAAAACTCGAGGGAACAGGTTAGCCAACTGTGGGATTAATCAACTTACGGTACATTTTAGTTTGAATTTTCTATGTTGTTTATACTATATATCGTTTTTTTTAACTTGTTGGAAAGTACTATTAGAGGAATTAAATTTGACTATAAAGCTGAAAACAATAAAAAACTTCCACAACAGTAACCAATTACCAATATATAGAAATAGCAATAACTATATCACCGATTCAAACACAGTACTCCAAAGTTTCTTGGTAACGTTGGTGTCTTTCAGGAGTGACTACCAACTGTGTACACCCAGGCATCGTCAACACGGACATTTTCAATTGTATGACATCTAGAGTCTGGTACGGTTTCTTCGTGAAACTTTTCGTTCGAGCTTATGCTAAGGTAAAAATCTTTTCACCATGACTAGCACCCATAAAATCTGCATATGCATATATAACACATATATATACATATATATACATATATATATATATATATACATATATATATACATATATATATATACATATATATATATACATAGTATGTATATAGTGTTTTTAATATTTGTGGTTTATTGTTTATCATTATTTTATTTGGTAATATATTTGTAAGAAACAAAAAAAAATTGTTTTGGTTTCTGACAAGAGGAACGCTACCAACATTTCAATTGACGGCACTTAATCTAAGGTATATACAGTAATATATATATATATATATATATATATATATATATATATATATATATATATATATATATATATATATGCTAAATCACTGTAGTTGCGTGATCTTAACTGATAGGCGGATAGATAAAACACGTGCTTTCTTTCTCAGGTTATCACACATATATATATATATATATATATATATATATATATATATATATATATATATATCTTGATAAATCACATGTGTGTGTTAAATGGATTTTGGGAATTTTGATTCAATCTAGGAATTCTTCCTCTGAACTTGTGGGAACACTGCCAAGAGGTTGAATGGATGGAGGCGGCACCCGCTCAAGAAGTGATAGTGACCATGCCTTACCAATATGGCGGACCTTTTCAGCGACTTTATCCCTTGGTTGATCCCTCTATAATGTGCATAATAACTAACAATAGTATATATCGCAGTCATCTGTAAACCAACATTTGTTTGTAGTAGCAGCGGCAACTGTGGCCTGGCTTCAAGCACCTGTTAATACACAGCGAACACCACCTCTATTCATTCAACTTCCTTGGTACCAGCCGATTACAAATTTTGAAATTCTAAACATTATGAACAAATAAGGAAAGCTACAGAAAAAAAAGATACAGTATATTGATAAAGAACGCAAGCTATGCAAATTCAAAGAACACCTTCTGTAGCTCTGTAGACATCAAAGCATTATGGTTTTCCATCATACTGTACAGTAGTACATCATTAACTTTGAACCACCCGCTTTGAAAAAATTAGGACGGTACACCAGCCATTATGATATACTTTAAGGTCTATACTCCCTCCTTCTAACATTCACTCCTAATACTGCATCTTCCTCTGCTTGTAATAGAGCAGCGTGGAGGCGCTCAGACGAGTATTCCCTGGCAGCGTCTGAAGAGGTACAGGAGTCTCTGGAAGTACGCAGACTGTAAGGTGGGTCACCTCACTGATAGGCATTAAGTGATTTCTTTAAGCTTTTAGCCTGTGGGGATGGACCTCATTGATCAAGGGTCCAGGTCCTGCTTGCAGCTCTACAAGAGTGGTTTGTATATCAATTAACCCTAACTGGAGATTGTGTATATTATGTATGTGCTCCATTTATATACATTATTTTATTCATCCTAGCATAGCAGCGTAGTGTGAATGTATTTACCATGTCCCACACGCTTAATTAATGCATTGGCGATATGGAAGCTGCTAATGTCACTGCCACATGTCGCCTAGGAAAACGAGTTGACCCCCAGACATGTAGGAGAGCCGACTCGCTTGTGTATTTTGTTTATCCAGTAAATAGAACCTATGAAAACTCTACAGGTGTTTGTAGGCCTGCCCGCAGATAGAACTTGATACCCAGAACACATGCAGGGATTACTATCTAAGAGGTTGTCCAAAACCATTATCTTCGTAAGATTAGGTTAACCTAGAACACGTTTCATATTTGTCTATATTGCATGGTCAAGTTAACTGAAGCTGGTCTAGTGGGCAAGCAGCAGACTCAATTAGGTTGGGGTTTGAAACAATGCTTTTTTTTTCTAAAGTAAGGTTGGGTGAGATAGGTTTACTGGGAAGCACATAATGGGGTTTGTGAGGATCAATATTTGGTGCACACTTGCTATGTATGTTGTCAATATACACATCTCTACCCCCACAGGAGGCAAGTGTTCCTCATGAGATGAAGGCCTCGCTAAGAAGTTGTGGTAGCGAGAGACTTGTTCAACTAGAAACCATGAGCAGATGCTGTAATCAAGTTTTCTTAGTCACCCCCAAATGACAATCATCTTCATCTGATTGCCAGCAGCTATGTATATGCCACTGCCAACAAAACCTTGATGACCCAACTGCAAATCTGTGAGCCTGGAGATAACCTGCACACCACACAGGGACTATTTATCATACTCTACAGGATTAACAAGACTGCCACCACTGTATACTGTACAAGATGCAAGGACTTAAACAACTATCTACATTCCAAAACACCATCTACTTTGATATGCAACTTGTCATTTTATAGTAGCCCATACTCTGAATTAAAACCTTTAGCAATGTATAGTTTTCCTATAACTTTCACTTTTCCTATTTTGTACTTTAGAACACAGATACAGTACTTTTTTTTCAGCCATTTTTTAAAAATCCTTGAAATAGTAGTCACATGCAAATAATTGTCTGCAGATCAAATCAGATACTGTATAAAAATTCACTTAGAACCTCAACCATGTGTTTTTATAGTTACTACTCTTCAGCGTGTAACATTTAGTATACAGTACACCAGTATTTTTGCATATTAATAGCCTACAGTTTGGTCAGCTCTGATCTTGAATTGTTGGTACAGTACTGTACTTCATCTTTGATGTGTGGAGTGAACATCCTGTATGTGTAAAGATTACAATTACAGGTCAAGTTTTGTCTTAGTACAACTTTGAGAACTTGCAAATCAAAGAAATTTAGAATGTTAGTAGTATTCTAAGAACTTAGCCTTAACCAGTTCTATTCCCCCACATACAGGGACTGGAGATGCTATAAACCACCAAGTATCCAAGATCCTAGTTTTTGCTTGCATGTTTCCTGCTTACACCCATCATTGGGATTACAATTTATGTAGCCATTGAATACCGAACCAAAATTTTTGAGCCTGTATTGCTGCACATCAGACTTGAAACATATTGCTCAGAAAATTAACTTTTAATCTGATCCATTTTAATATCTAATCAGACTACATGAGTAAAGAAACCACCAAACCCCTTCACAGTTTTATTAAAACTTTAAAGACGATGGTAGCCATAAATCACCGTGTTGTGGGTATATCTGCAAAGAAAAGAAAAACTTGTTGGAGAACTTTTAAACAAACTTATCTATACACTAAGTACTAACTACATTTAAAGTATTACCAACAATGATGTATAATTTTTACAGTGAAAATAGATGTCACAAACATGAAGAAAGTGTTATAAGTGACAGTTAAGCGTTGAAACCTCCATCTAATGGACTATATGGAGAGTTAAGCCAGTTTATATGGAGTCTGTACTATGCATGAAAGGAATCAACAATAACAAACCTTGGGGTTAAAGGAAGAGTCTCTTTGACCTCGCACGCATCTTCCTTAACTTTCCTTAAGCCTCTTCGCTTGCTCCTTCCTCCACTGCAAAACAAAATTCATAATTAATCATCTAAAACAATCACATGAGTCATGTTGAATTAAATATTTATCATACAATGCCAGACAATGAACCACAGGACCTCTGGTGTACCCATAGACACATGCTCCGAGAAACAAGGACAGCGAGACCCTGACTTGGAATGTGGTCCAGTTTGGTCCCAACTATTGATTTTCAAGAATGCACCCAACAAGGAGGAGTTAATTCCAAGGAGTCGAATAGACGGATCAAGAAAACAGAATTTGAACTCGAGATTTGGAGATGGGTGCTGGTGCTCGACCTCAAGAGGTAGAACCGGTTTCAGCTAAAAGATAGTGTTACACACAACCTGAACCTCTATCGCATGAGCCAACAAAGATACAACCTTCCTGGAGAGAGAAGTCATCAGACGAGGTCAGGACGGTTCATCTTGTCTCTGATATATCAATCAGTTAATGCAGTATTTGACCTGTTGCTCTGTCACCAGTGTAGACATTTCTGGGGTTTTCCTTATCTACAGTAAGAACACCACAAGAATGATTCCAAGGTTCTAGTTAACCTGCACCATGTTCCCAGAGCATTACTCATTGTGTGTTTGATTTGTACTTTACATTTTAATATTTATTTATACTGTACCCATTCACATTCCATTTTTTTACTTCCGTAATACTCTGCAATTACTCAATACCATATTTCCCAGCCTATAAGATACCGTTTCCCCTAAAATTACCATTAAAATCAGCCTGCATCTGATAAGATGAAGGTCAAGTTTAAGGTAAAGTTCTTGAACACAAAACCCAGATGTCAAATATTTCCCAGATGATCAAGAAATATAATGCTTATACTGTACTGCATGATAAGGAGAAACAAAATAGCCTACAGCACCTCTTGTTTTTAGCATAGCCAACACCACCTACAGGCAGGAAACAAACTTCCATAAAAGTACCAACACAATATTGCCTTTACAACGAAGTCTCTGTATTAATGCCCTGAAAAATTTCCGTGTTTATTCAGTTACTATTATTTCTATTATTCTATGTTCATATAAAATATTTTGTTCACCTCATCTTGTATATTGTGGTAGGGTTCTTGTAGCATGGCAAAGTAGCTGACCCAGGCAAGCATCATAACCATATGTACAGTACAGCATATCTTTAGATTAGTAAACCCCTCGAGTAATCAACAATGTAAGTCGGGCCAAATGTTAGCTTCTCCAAACTGAAACCGTATTGACCCCAAATGAGATTAAGCCTAACACCCCAACATATGAGTCAGGGTTAAAGTCAACATTCCTACCCCAATCTACTATCATATTCAGGACGTCTAATTATAAGAATTTTCTTCCATTACATTACCATGACATATAATAATTAAATGCTTAGTACAAAAAATCTTTCTCTATTTTCTTCCATTAATCTTCCACTTATTGCCTACCTCACCCCATGAGTCCACATGTCCCTTCACAAATCATTGCAAAGTGGGCACGCTTTTATGTTAGCAATGTAAACAACTGCTGAAATAGTTGCGCCGTAACAGCAACAAATTCCTCAAAGTTGCGCAGGTGCAACGCAACTTTAAAATGTAACAAATACTAAAATAAAAAACTTGCCTATGTACAAGTAAAAATATAATTGATACAAAAGTGTTAATATCAATATTATTACAAAAAAGAAAAAAAACTAAAGTTAACTACAGAAGATCACGTTTCCTTCATGAACACCAGCATCTCAAAGTTTGGGTCACCAAAATCAGTGATATGCTGCCCGACCCGTGTCATGTGCATGCGAATTATTCCGTCAGAAAAGCGCTATTTCCGTAATCGCAGCTCTAGGGATGCCCGTTTGCTTATGCTGTCGTATTCAATTTTCAATTATTAAAAAATTTTTGCGTGTTACACTTGAAAATGCTTGTAAAAGTGGCGCCCGCAACTCTCTGAAAAACATGTGGTGCAACTGCCCACCTTTGGGTATTGGTCAGTGGGGTTAAGACCGAGAAAAGCAAAGAGGAATAATGAACTGAGGTAGCAATGGAGGCAAAGTCAATCCCCAAGGATTCTATCAAATGTATAAAAAAACAAAGAAAGATTGGACAACACAGTCAGATACCGCCGAGGTAACAACGACGGAGAAATGAGCAATAATCTGAATAAATATTTTTCCAGTTTTCACCACCGAAAATTTGAAGAGAATTAAGCGTGATAGTAGTGACTAGTAACTATGTTAGTAAGCAAATAGACAAACTAAAGCCTAATAAGTCACAGGGTCCTATGATATATTTACCAGAGTATTAAAGAATGTAAGGAAGAGCTAAATATGCACCAAGCAAAGTTGTTTAACATGTCCTAAAAATGTGTAGTGCCAGAATCCAGAATGAAGAAGAAATTAAAGAATATCACTATCAGAAAAGAGGATGTTCTTAAGAGGATAAATAATAAAAGACAATCCCAGGGCTGGATGACATCTTCTCGAGTCTTGAAAGAGTTTGAGAACAGATTAGGGGACACCTCGTGAATTTGTTTACAAAATCATTAGATACGGGAGTTGTGCCAGAGATGTGTTCAACAGGCAACGTAATACGTATCCATATTCAAGGAACGGCATCAGTGTCAAATTACCGGCGATCAGTCAGTTTGACGTCAGTAATTTCTTGAATCGATTATAGCAAATTGCATCCGATTGCATTTACAGTAAACAAATTAATCTCGACTCTCAACATGGGTTTACAAAGAAAACCTTTACTCTGTTGACTTTTTTAGGAAAGTCTTGAGGT